TTTTGTTTATTGCCAAGTAGGTTTTTACGCCTACGAGGAATGTGACCTGGTGCAGTTGGTGCATAAAATATACACCTATATTTATATATATATATATATATATATATATTATATATATTTATAAATAACTAACTTGTTCCTCTCATGTAATAACTCTTGTAACTGACATGAGTTCCCAGAGGAGAAATGTTTCAGTCAATACATGGAACGCAAGCTCTAGAGTCCCTGTTCAAAATGAAAGCTACATATTGTGTGATTTGGTACATATCTAATGTCACAAAAAGTTCCATTTATCTCAAAGGCGCACACTGCAGTATAATATGTTGATTATTTTAATGAAATTATTACATCAAAGCCGCACAATGAAAAATGGCCTATGGGTAATGTATAATAGAGTTGGAAATTAAATGAGCCAAAGAACATAGTGCCAGCATTTATCCTTAAGCCTTGTCATTGGCACACTGTTGGACATTGAAGTTTGTCTTCAGAAGTTAGTTCTACGCATACCTCTCTCCTTTCCATTAACACATTAATAAAGCTGCTCTGTGCTTTCAAAGCCACCCTGACTAAACGGTTAACATGCTTGACAATGCTATCCCCTACAGACTCCCATTTTATTCTGTCACTAGGTATTTTTGTCCCTCCTTTTAATCGTGTTCCAGGTGCTCCCGAATCACATCAGAAGATGGATTTCATGACTTTGAAGCCCATCATTGTTGAAATATGCTAAACTGGTCAGACACCCCACGGTTCAGTCCCATTTAGATGGGGAACGAGATTGAGTGAGGGAAGAAAAAGGGAAGAAAGAGAAGTGAGGTGCCATGGCTGGTAGTAATACATTTGCACATTCCAGCCACTTTGCCTTGTAAGCCTCATGATTGACAGGTCCTTGCATGGAGTGTAATATCTGTTCTACTTACATCACTATTCTGAAACTACTCAGTATCTGCCCTGCACGGTCTGATTCTGTCTCTATTTGCTTTGCATGCGCTCAATAGCATGGTACAGAAGGCACTAACTACTCACGCTTGTTTATGCTCTTTAACAGTAGCAGATGAGATTAACTGCAGCACAAGAACCAATGGAGGTAAGCAGCCATGCCTGGGCCAGCTCAATACACTGTCACCATTATTACAATAGAGCATTATGATTGTTTAGCTGGGTCCATGGGTCAATAATAGAGATTGGAAAATCAGTCCCACACTTTCTCAACAACCAGCTCATAACCAACCATTATTGGCTGTGTGATCTTGGCACCTTTAGATGCATATGGAGGAGAGAGTTGTTTGAGGTAATTGCAGCATGATCAAAAGAGGGTTTTCATATTGCTGAGAGGGAGTTGCATGGTGTTGAATGGAAACTTGGCAACTAATGTGGGAACCTGTGCCATTGTGCTCGTTCTGCAGTGCAAATGATTGAAGAAAACACTCATTACTCCAGGAGTTGTGGAGGGCTGGAGAGAACGAGGCAATGGAGTGGCATTTGCAATAGAGAGACATTCATTGCCAGTTGGCCTCTTCAGCTCGCTGCGATTGATCCATCATAGTCAGGCTGTTTTGAGCTCTGGTTCGAGCATGTTAGAGTGGATTCACTCCATTAAATTAACACAGAATGAGCTGATGACTGGGTCACAAGGGGATGCTTTTGAGTGATTTCTGAGAGTGCTAATTCGAAACTAACATGCCTCTTGCCTGTTGTGTGGTAAGGGATATTTGAAAAACAAAAGTAGTATATCATACCATCCGGTATGTGACATTACAAAAATTCAAAAATATAACAACTTTTGTATATCTCAAACAAGAGGCAGGAAAAGTGTTAAAAACAAATATTAAGAGACTAGTGGAGCCTGATTGGCCAGCTGTGGTGAATGAGAGATCGGCACATGCTCACTATAATTGTGAGTTTCTATTTTAGCCAAGTCAGTTACTGATCCAGTGGGTTGCCAGGCTTGGCATGTGAGTTGCCAGCCTCTGCATATTAATAGCTTTGCCAGTTGAGTGAGTAGGCTGACTTGGAGAGAGACAAACAGGTATAAAAATATAATTTTAGTGGGTTGATAAAACCACATAATCACAGGATATTAATGCAGCATGCTTGATTGAGATATTAACCAATCCGAGTAATGATAATTCCTTTGTGACACATGTTCATTATGTCGAGGATGTCCTCTGTCGGGCTAATGGTCCACAACTGGCAGAGACATAGGAGCATGGCCGACCCGGGAACACCTCACTTCCACTAGGATACCTGGATGTGGCCTTCCCCCGACCACCTTGGAGGCTATTTTTAACATAATTACCCTTTTACCTCCCTGCTTAAAGCCCTGGCTCTCTGAATAAATTATGTGTAATGGAGCCCCTGTCTGTACACAGATCTTTACATGCAAGGGCCCCTGGTGAATAATGGCTGGGGAGCATAGTTTTAGCTGCTCTAATTATACTATTGGCTCCTGTCCCTGTAATAACCACTGCTGATTTATTCATGGAGTTTGCCATACCTCCCCTTTAACGTTTAATGGCAATGGATCTTCTCCAATTAACTGTCCTTGCCCTTAATCTGGCTAAGGAACACAGCACATCGGCCATTTTTGTCTTTGGCCATGATAAAATTCCAGGTGCCCTTTCCCCTTATTTGGTTTGATTGTCCGTCTTTTGTGTATTTCATTTTGATGATTTTCATTTCTCCTCCAGACGTGTGGGGAGTGACAAACTCATGTCTGTATGCAATGGGGGAATATGTATTTTCATCCCTCTGAATAAGAGAGAGATGAGGAGCATAGCACTGAGGCTTCTGTTGTGTGATAGGAATCACATAATAGACTGGCATACAGAGAGCTGTCCGTCAAACTCTCCCAGGAGAGCCGGGGCTGCTTCTGAAGAAAACAAAGGCAGGTTCGAGGCAGCCGGGGTCTACGGGCAAACACTCTCTCTCTTTGCCTCGCTCTCCCGTTCTCTTTGTCTCTCTGCTTCTCTCAGTCATTCACCACGCTGACTAGAAACAATGGCGAAGGGGATCGTGGTGCGGAATACCGAGCAGGAGGATTATTCCCTGTTTCCGAGTACAGCAGATGTCATTTGTGTTCCCTTGAACTGTTGCATCCTGTGCGGCTCTAACTTGCAATCCCATTGTGTCAAACATGCACCCTGGAATCTGCGTGTCTGCTGCTGGCAGGCTTTAGGCACAAGCTTAAAAAAAAAAAAATTACATGGCATTTGTTCTGGGTTGAGTTTTATCCACAAAGTATGAAAAATTACAGCATTTTCCTGCTACGCTTTATCTGCGCCTCCTTTTTAGACTGTCCTCTCCTGTCCTTTACATGATGAGATTGCTCCTTCTAAACAAATGAATTACATGATTTTTACTTGCATTTTCTTGGTCTTGGAAGGTGGTTCATGCTTTCCTGGCATTAAAATTTGTCACAGTAATCAGAAATGGCCCATCTCTCCTCTCAGCAGTAAAATGAATCTTCTGTTGCAGCAACCATAGAGCTTTTGACCCCTTAGACATTTGTAGCTCGCAGTAAAGTTTCCTTTTACTGTCCACTGTAGCCTGAAGGTACACATATGAGCTTTTCCCACTAAATGGGATGCAGCATTATAGGATTGGTGTTCATTTATTTTGAATAGCACTTTCAGGATTGAGTCCAGGTTCTCTTGGGATTGGGCATTTTTATTAACATTGACAAAAAGGAAGGGAAAATGGTCTGTTGAAAACATAACAGTACGTTTACCACTCTGGAAATCTAACAGCTGACCTTTTAGCCTATCTGACTTCTTTGACACCAGATCTATAGCAGCCATGGATGATGGAGAAGCACTCACACTCAGTAAGGGTGCACTGGTAGCAAAAGCACAGAAAGAGGGATGCCCTTGTGACCCTAAAGATCCTAAAAGTAGCATGAAAACTTTTAGTTTCTTTAAAATGAAAATTATTTAAATAACAAATCAATCAGCTCTTTCCTGCCTTTGTCCTCTGCGAGTAGCTGTCTAGATGGTGTGTGTTTGAACTGTGGAACTCAGATAGCTGGCTAATCACTAGTGAGCTGCTGCAGGTTTGCTTGGTTAAGTGATCAAGAAGAGAAGAGCAAAGGGTTTCAGCCAACAAAAGAGACAAGCTGCCGCTGGTGAAATTATGATAACAGTAGCAGCACATTTCTGCACAGTGCTGCCAGTTACCCCTCTTTTTTCTTAAGCTCTTAACTCACTCATACCCTGCTTTTGAAACCTTCGTGTATTCACACTGCTCTGTGTTTCTTGTCCTCCTGCCTCCATCTCTTGTACACTGAAACAAATGTATTTCAGAAAGAGTACTCCATACAGCGGTCACAAATTGTTTTCTCTCAGTAATAGGGGTTTATTTTCTTTGCCTGATCTGTGTTTGGCTGTGCAACCTTCCATCTAAGGATCCACTGTGATCACCCAGCAGCAGTGGCTCACGCCTCATTTAGGCCACTTTAAACATGTCGAGGATCTTGTTAATGGTAGCTGGCATAGAAGTGTGCATGTATATGTCATGGGTTTCCGTTATTGCACCTTTTGGGGACTCTCTGCATGGGGCACACATGCAAACCTATACATCCGGTGTTTGCATGTGTGTGTTCTTTTCAGTGGTGGGAGAGGCTAGACCTTATAGCAATATTTGCAATTGAAAACCAACAGGAAGAGCCGCAAGAGACATTTATAAACACCACATGAAGCCACAGAAGAAACTGCATAACACACTCACTACATGTGGAGGGTCTATATGGTCTACAGGGAGTCGTTAAGACACAATGCTGCTCTGTCCAGGCTCCATCGACATGCGCTTTACCCTCAGAGAGCCAGTGAAGCCACTAAAGTAATTGAATCAACAGTTTATCCATTATTACTGATAGTTTCCTCTGCAGAAGTTTACATCTAACAAGGCTTCGCTTGCACATATTCAGAAATCCATCTTGTTACGTTTGACAGCAGCTTGCTGCACGCTGAATCGAGGCAGAATAAAGGGGACAGAAAATCAACCAGGCTGCTTGTTTACCAACTGGCTGGTAAGGTAAGAGCTCCGGGGAACTGACGGACGCTCCCTGACAAAATGAAATACCAATACCTGAGTCACGCTCCACTTACATACCCTAAACAAACCCCTGGCAAGCATTGGAAAAATAATTACAGCTGTCAGGGCCCTGGTTCCAGTGTTGAAGAGGTTGACTGTTCAAAATTCACTTCAACACAGCTAGTCTACTAGCCTGTCTAGCAGTGCTATGTACATCCTTTAAAGGAGATACTTTGTTTAACAAGTATAATATATATGATACTCTAATTAGCTACTTGGCAAAAAGGTTTCAAGTCATAACAGCCCTTCATTTGTATCATGGCGACAATTTACATGTTAACTGTATTTACTTTGCATAATGGTTGCTTTGTGCAGCATTTATCAGTGAAGTAAATAATGTGGGTGGCACTAGTATTGTGTCATAGAGGCATTTCTGTCCATAAACCATATTGCCACGTTCATACTGCAATGTGCTTTGGAAAGGTTCCATGTACTACTTCTGTTCTGCAAGTGGCCTGTCGACAAATGTTTTTGTGGTTTTTTGCCCACTGGGCTAATCAACATAACACTGATAACAGAGCAAGTTTGTTTTTCAATGGTTCTGCCTTCATGTTGTGCTATTACCTGCTATCTAACATGTCAAGGCCTTAGAAATACAGAAGATTACAGCTGTGAGGTGTTGTTTGTGGAAGATGGGCTTGTTGATGGGAAGAGAATGGTGTTGGAAATCAATGGAATTTGTCTAGTATATATGCCTTCCCTTTTTCTCCTTCCTCTCTGTTTTAACCAGCCTGTTTTAGAGGAGACGAGTTAAAGAGACAGAGGAGAGAGGACCACCTATGGAAATAGTTTTACGTTTGCAGTCTAATCTAAACATATAGGGAAATGTATTATATTTTAGTGTAACACCATAATCACACTGGTACTGTGGTTTTATTTGTATTTGATAGTGACCCATTTATATGCATTATGTTTCAGCCACATAATTTCACTCTACAGACACAAGGACAAAGGTTGAATTATAATTCCCAAAAGTGAAATGTCTCAGTGAAGATATAATACTCTGTTCTCATTTCACACACTTCATTGGCCAGGCAATGGCATCATTTGTTTTTCACGTTAATTGCCAGACTCACACCTTCTCTTTGCCTGCCAAGCACGGCACATAACATCATCCCATATGAAACTAGCAAAACGTGAATGATTCATTGACACGCAATGAGCTCCGTGATGATAAGTTTGGGTTGGCCTTTGTGGGGGAGTTAGAGTCACACGCCATTAGTTCGTTGGCCTCAGTGACACTATTTCCTCTTTTCATAGGTTCCGCAGAACAAGAGGTCGGACCCTCCCTGGGCCTGAAAAAGTCCAGCTCCCTTGAAAGCCTCCAGACGGCTGTTGCCGAGGCAAAAATAAATGGTGAGATCAACGTTAACAGGCCACGCTCACGGATCGTCAGGGGCCGCGGCTGCAATGAAAGCTTCCGAGCTGCAATTGACAAATCGTACGAGAAACCTGGCGTCACAGAGGCAGAAGAAGAGAACAGCATGGAGACTTGTAAGTGTTCAGAGTTTTTGTTTTTTAAGACTGTTTACTCAGAGTATTAATACAGAATCATGTGCCCAAAAGTATGCCATTATATAAAGAACATAGAAGAAGATTCAGATCAGAATCCAGTCAGTGTAATATAGGCCAACTCAGTACTTCCCCAGAGCATTTTTCAGAATGGCAGGATTCATCCCCAAGTAAACTAGGTTAGGGATCCCCACTTGATACAAAGCACATCTGCAATAAGCGTCTAGGTTACACATTCATTAATATTCACACAGTTCATGTTGAGTGGAATTGTTAGAGACTGTGGCAACGTGTTTCCCAGGAGCTTACAAACTCTTAAAGTGCATTACCATGTTTTTCAACAGAGTGCATGCAAGGAAAAAATTCTACTGTTTACCAACATACGTAAGGGTCCTATTGTATCCATTTTACTCGTCATATGTATTTGTAATGCATTTACTATGATTATGAATGAAATACTACTCTGTGCCAGTTAGCTTTGGCACATAACAACATATAACTTTGCCAGTTTTCTGCACATTTGTCTTACTGCGTACCTGACTGGCAGTGAAACCACAATTACCTGACTTTATTCTTCAAAAACTATGAAGACAACCATAAAAAGGAAAGACATACTACCTTCCCTTTGAGTGAATATATCCATCCATGCTTGGAGTTTGATGACAAGGAGACATGCATTGGATATAGAGAGACAGCCGTCTTACGTTTTTCGACAGGTAATAACCCTGCAACACCACAAGAGTAATCACCAGATATAAATTTCCATTCACCATTAAAGACCTGGGAGACATTTGAAAAAGAGGGAATTATTTGCCTGAAACGCTTTGTTCTCATAAGCTCTGTCGGCAAGCCACTAAATACAGTCTTATCTCGGCAAAGAAAAATGGGGAAAGCAAGCGATTTCCCCTGCCGCGGTATATTGCATTCTCCCCCATGATATTCAAATAACTCTGTTTTTCAATTTAGATAAAAGCAGCCAGTCTGTGCTCGTCACTGAGGTTAATAGTCAAAGTTGACAGATAAGCCGCTGCCTTCCTCTGCTCCCAGACTTTTATTTACATAAAATAAGAATGTGGCATCACCCAAAGAAAATGTGTCCCCACAAGATATCCTGCTGGGCAAAATGCACTTCCCCTTGTGCTACTTTGTGTTAAATCGTTTGAGGAAATAAAAGAGAAAAAGAAAAATCTGCTCTGCTGGGCAAAAACCACTTCTTTTATGTGTTGGAGTAAGACTGGCAATTTTACTTGTCTGTCATAACCTTCACTGACAGGCCAGTTTAAATGTCCTTGATTATTAAAGCAGGAAAGTTTAATGTTAGAGTTTCACTAAAGTGACAAAATGTTTCCTGTGGTTGTCTGTCTCTGCAAATTATCTTTTAGTCTCCTGACACTTTCGTCAATGCTTCTGCTGTCATTGGAGATTGTCAGTCAAGTCTTTTTCTTTTCAGTTCCATTAAATTGCCATGGATGGCCTCACCTTTTGATGTCTGGTGTTATAGGCTTTTGTCTGTTTTTTTCTGATAGGAGATAGCTTGTTTTTCTGTTTCGCTTCATTTAAAAGACTCAAATTAAATGGATGACAAAAATGGCATTGAATTACAAAAATGATTCCTTGTGTTTAGCCTTCCTTTTTACTCAGTATGCAAGAACCTGGCCTACACATGTACATGCTTCCATGTGTGCACACATGGCCGCTGCCCTCTGGAAGGCTCTGGATTACAATGTTTACTATGTTATCTGCAGCTTGGCATCATTAAGCAGTAGCAACGTTAGCGCTCTTGCTAATCTCAGTCATTTGAATAGCCAGATACAGCTCACAGCTGCTATTTGCTGCTGTTGCTTTTAAGTGGATGATAAGCAGGTAGCAGATTGAGTGATAAAACTGATACCCATCCAGAACCTGCTCCCAAATTTGTAGAGGTGGAGAAAAGGAAGTGAGGGGGCTGTGCACAGCAATGAATTGCTTAATTGAGCAGGTTTAAGCTGCCGGTTTGCTCTCTATTCCTGCCATACAGTGCCTCATGTAGAGATTCCATTTCAGTAATTTCTTCCGAGATGGCAGCTGAAAGAAATAGCTGATAGCTCCACAGATCACAAGAGAAAACAAACCCCACTGTTCCTTGAAATGTGAATCCAGCCGCCCCACCCTTGCGTTGTCTGTCTCATCCCGTATGCCACGAATCCATCATGGTCTCCCCTCCCTCTTCTCTTCTCACGATAAGCGCTTTTCTCTCCTCCATCAAAGGCAGAACTTAGACGACAACACGCAAGACTGTAATAAGTTGTAATCTGAAGGACATCTACCTCACGCCTCAGAGCCAGAGATACAGCATAGACAGGAGCGATGCCGATTGCGAAGAGTTAGCACATTTGCAATTAAGATCCCTGGGAGCCTTTTTCAAGATTATTTAAATGTATAATTACTGACAGATTAATTACATTTTGCACATCAGTTCTGATTAGATGTGATGGAAACTTTGAGTTTAATCAACCCTACATCACCTAAGGAGTTTGGTTTCAATTTGATGTCTGAGTTGAAATGAGTTCAGACTTAAATTAAGAACCAGACTCATATGATCATTACAGCTTCCACCTTTTGGTCACATCGTTTTTACATGAAAAGAAGTAGAAAAGGGAAAGGGAAAAAAAAAGACTGTTCTCTTGAGCTGTGTGAAATGTACACATTTGAAATAACTTCAGGCTTTCAGCTAAGTGAAAATGTGTTCAACAGAATACTATTCTCAAAGGGTGTACAATGTAAATATATTCTGCTCTAATGAGGCAGATGAATTCAGTGTGTTTTGTTCAAAGTTGCCATACCTTGTGGGACACAGCTTTTCTTTTAATGGTTCAGCTTATGTTACTAAAAGAAAGAAGTGAGGCTTTGTAACTGACAAAAAAAGTGTTGTTGTCATGTGCTGATTTCAATTGTGGCTTCCTTGATCTGCAGGGAGTCAAGTGGAAGTTAAAGTTTTAGTCTGCCTTTTATTGACTTACATTTTATTTTTCTTTCTTTCCCTGTGTTTGTGCAAGTATGCTGTTCTTTTTCCTTATCAATATCTCTAACACCCTCTCTTTCCCCTTTATCTCTTCATACCAGTGGACGAGGACACAGAGGGAAGTTCCAGATCTGGTCGGGAGTCAATGTCCACCAGTGGCGACCTCATTGTGCGCCCTGGGCTGAACGGCTCCATCTCCAAAGCTGACAGACAGAAAGATCGGGACAAGGTTGGGGGAAAGGAAAAGAAGAAACCTGACAGGGATAAAGAGAGGGAGAAAGACAAGGACAAGAACAAAGCCAAGAAAGGCGTGCTGAAGGGCCTGGGCGATATGTTCAGGTAGGAATGAGACAGAGCTCAGCTCCAAATCCTAAACAACCCTGTGTTGCCCCGAGCACCAATCACTATCTGCTTTATTTAATTCCACTCAACACGCTCACCACTGAATCATACAGAATTCAAATGCATTCTCTGGATGTTGCCAGTGCTAATCAGGGACCCCTCTCCTTGAACCCTATGAGGTGGAGGGAGTGGATGGGGGGGGGGATTGGCATGGTGGGGGGGTGGGGGGGGGTTATCGACCTCAAAGGCCTCTGGCACTTTTGTGCCAGATTATTTTTAATAAGGGCAACATGTTTTATTCATAATCCCATGTGCGCGCTCCTCCTATCCAAACAAGCTCCGCATTTGTTAACCAGCAGACAATGTTCGGGGCCCATACGGGTGCTAATGTGGGAGCCATGATTTTGTTCTGGGGATGAAAGACCTTTGGAGATGATAAAATCGACTGCAGGTTGGAATTGCTGCCCGTGGCTGGAATTCTCAGTGGTTGTTTCAGAGTTTAGAGGCAGACTACCTTGGGAGACCATAAAAGGTGGCATGATTCTGCTATCAACATCCTTTAGATATTCATACATTTTAAAAATGTTCACAAGCAAAAGGTTTAATGTCAGTGATTTAATTTAGCAATACTCTCGCCTGCTGTAGGTCTTCAAGGTTGTGTTATTACCTCATATAGCCCAGGAAGTTGGAGGCAAATTCAAAACCAGACACCTCTGCTAGCACATTTTATAGTTGTTAGATTTGTCTTACAGCCTGGAAAATAATTCCACTGCCTCTGAGGACTAATGGGCTAAAACAGAAGTTCTTTAGCCTGAGTATGGTGACTATGGACTACAAACAGTGTACATAGGAGACAATAGAAGGAGAAATGTGCAAAAAGTGGATGAAAATAAACATCCTGCGGGTATCCATATATTATCTCTGCCACAAGGAAAATTAGTGGGGGAGTCACATTAATTATTTCAATTCCATGCACATTTGAATATGGCATAAATTAACGGTGGAGGCGGTGCAGGCCGTTATCGTGCCGTAAGTTGTTTTCATGTGGATTAGTTTAATGGGATTAGTTAGCGTATCGTGGCGCATGGCTCGGTAATGAACAATAAAGACGACAAGTGTGTTTCGAGGTCACGATTGAGGAATGCAGGGAGCTCGCTTATCTCCCATTATTTTCACTCTTTTTTTCTTTTTTTCTCAACTGTCTTTGCATCCTGTGGTGTAAATGCATAATGACTCGCACTGGCTCACATTCTGTCACACAACAGGCATGAGCACATATGTGGAGTACACACACATGTTCACGGGAGTACACACAGAGAAGTGTGCTGGATTAGTAAATGAAAGTGGAAATTTGAGCCACAGGTTTGACACCCTGTGACATGCAATCAGCGCCGTTGGCAAACCTTTTTTGAGTGGCTGTGTGCTCAGCCCAATAGGTGGCTGCTGGGTGATTTTTAGCTGTGCACGTGGGCCCTCGGCATGCCCTCCTCGGCCTCATCATCGTTCTTCATTATCTTTGAGTGCCACTGCCACTTAAGAGTTGGCACGCGGTGGGCCTCACTGACACTCCCCCCCTCCACCACGCATTTAACACCAGGCCCTGTGCCTCCTGAATGCAAAGAGGCAGCCTCCTGGACCTCTTTCTGACTCTCAAGCTCTGTCTTTCTTTCTTTTTGCTACTCCCTACTCCTTGACACCTCAAACAATTGTCTACTTAAAACTGTGACAGCTCTCACACCCACAAGTCTACACTGTCCCTTTCTATCCTCTCCCCGTTCTCTCACAATCCACCTAACAGGTTTCTAAAGTTAGAAATGGCAAGGAACTGAGGTGAGAATGAATGCGTCCCACTGGATACAATAACAAACTTTTTTTGGAAAGAACAAAATGGAGTGATGTGAAATGCCTAGCGGTCAAAAGGGAGGAGAGGGAAACAAAGCAAAAGATCTGTTGTGTGTCTCACTTTTAGCGATTCTAGCAAAGTTTTTGACAGTGATTTCAGAATATAAAAGTTTTCCTGTGCATGACAAAGGGTTTGGCTGACAATAACTTGGCACTCTCAGGCTTACAAATCACGGATAGAATTTACTTGAGCAAGTTTCATGTGTGTCTCACCATTGCATCAAAACATCAAAAAGCCATCCTGATCGGGTTAATCCTTTGTAATGCTTGCCTCTGTTATTCCCATTAGCATAAAATGGACGTGCAGGCACTTACTTTTTCCTGCATTTCTCACACATGCATGTCTTACACTCACGTTCTCCCTCTAAGGAGATTTCAAGGAGTTTGCAGCACACTGCAATTTGAGCTCATTTGCATGCAGGCCTTTGGACGGCCTGATGAACGTGTAGTGCACGTCTGCTTAATGGACAGCCTGATTGGGAGTGCATTAACATCAGAGCCAGGGGAAAGGAGGATGGCCTAATACAGGGAGAGAGAGGGAGGATAGTGAGAGAGACTATGAGATAAATACTGTGAGTGCAAGAATGCCTGACAGTGTGTGAGCGTGTGATGGAAAGAAAATTGACTGCCTAAAGCCCAAAGCAAAGAAACTGCAGTGCAGGGCCGCGGCTCCCCTGCCTCTCTGGCGTCTTACTGTACTGCCTATAGGATGGCAGACTGCCTGGTATACAGTCCTGTACCATCCAGTAATGAATAGCTTATAATCTAAAGCATGAATAGCAATGTGCATGCATGCATAGGATGAAAAACCAGCCCTAGGCATCTTGACATCATTGTTATTTCAAGGATGTCTGTTGCATGCATGTATCACTGTGTCCATGTCTGCATCCAGTGGGATATATGGGAGTGCAGGTCGGCGCATTATCCCCCAAACCATTGTATGTGATTATTTATGTCATTTCTAGTGGATAACATGTGATCATTACTTTCTGATCCTATCAGGTTTGTTTAGATGTTGGAAGCTTTGCCCAGGGCTCTGTTAGCATGCTTGCAGACAATGATGTCTGGGCCTCGGCCTGCAAGACGCCGTTCAACATGCCTAATGAGGTGTTGTTTATCTGCTCTGTAACTGACTGACCTCTATCCCCATCTCCATCTCTTGATGTGTTGATCGTATTTTATGTATGCGCACGCAAGAAAATACCCATCCTGAGTCATTTATTGTAGTCCTGAGTGTTCAATTGTTGTAACAAAGTGAAAATTCATATTTTAATGGGTTAATAAGACTCAGAATGTTGCAGTGTCAGCATATGCATTTGTTAAGACATATATATGCACATCCATCTGTATATTGTTGTAAGGTGCGTGTGTGCATTGATATTTCTAAACACTTTTGTGTGTGTGTGTATGTATGGGTTTTTAACAAGAGCGAGGAAAAATGCATCACACTGTAGGAAATGTACAGTAGCATGAAGGAGACAAGCAAGTGAAGGCTGCAAAAATGGAAGACTGGGTTGGGACAGGGAATGAGGGCTTCAGAGGTGGGGGTGGGGGGTGGATTGGGTGGAAGGAGAGAGGGAGCGTGTGCACTGGAGTGAACTGGGGCACCATGGGAGAGTGGGAAAGGAGGATGAAAAGGAAAGGGAGAAGGGGGAATGAGAAAAGAAGGGAGCTTTTCACAGCGGCAGTCACGGCATCGTGCTACTGTCTGCCTGGAGGGAGGATTGAGGATCTATGGCGATTTTGTACATTTTGTGTGTGTGTGTGTGTGTGTGTGTGTGTGTGTGTGTGTGTGTGGTTTCAAGGTGCATGTGAATTTGCATGGATGTGCATGTGTAATGCCTGTTTGCATGTATATGTGTAGATGAAAAGACTGTGTTAATGGGCTCTGGCATCACCCTCACCCTTTCTCCCTGGTGCTTCCTCACCCACCCACACACACACTTACCCCTACCCCCCTACTCCCACCCTCCCCACCAATCTGATAAGTGGCATGCCTCACGCCGAGCCATCAGCCGACACTGGAGCTCAGTGTGACAGCCGTGCATCCCCCCCTTCTCCCCTCTCCCCCTCCCACCCTCCATCACCCCAGGGACCTTGTCTGCCTTCTCCTCCCTTCAGATGCAGCCCCACTCAAGGCTACACGGAGAGATGCAGGAGAAAGGGGTGTGGAGTGGAAAGGGAACCAGTGAAAGCTGGAGTGGAGGGATGCTTTCTATCCTTCAATCTTTATTATTCTTAGGCAGTGTGGAAGCACGCTGGAAGCACCGGGGGTTAGCACGAGAGTGTGTGTTTGCATGCATGCGTGACTATGCCTAGAATATGGATACCATGCCACGAAAGCATGATTGCCTTATGTGCTGCATGGGAGTAGGTAGTTAGCGTTTTCCAGCGCTGCTCCGTGTCTTCATACTAAAGGATTCTTTCTGCTCGTGTGTGGGTGTGAACAGCTGATGGCGGATAAGCCAGTTTGATCATTAGTACACCAACATGATACATGCATTAGCCTGGATTTTTATACACACACACACAGGGCTGAAATGCACAC